TCTCTCTCTCTGTCGATCTGGGTCTGTCTGGTTCTATCTGTTTCTCGTTGTCTCTCTTATCCCCTTCTCTCATGATGCAAGTAGGGTTTGACATGTTTTTTTCCTTTCATTTTCCATTTATTTCGTAAACAAATTTTTAAGGCCTTTTCTGATTTCGTGAATGGATGTGGTTGAAATTGCGGATTGTGGATTTGGATTCTAGATTTTGGATTGTTGAACTATATCACCAAATGTGCCTTTGTTTCTTTTAATGCTCCATTTCTGAACTCTTCAATCCCGTGTATTACATAATTTGTAAATTCATTTTTTTTTTATTTGGAGCATTTTTTATTTTTTTTAATTAGATTTTGGGGCTGTGTTATATTGCTCGACAGTTTGGGCATCTAACTTATCTCTATCTCTATTCTTGCCTTTGGTTAATACTGTAACATGTTATATATATATATATATATAATATATATAACTTACAAATATTATATTGCCTTCCAGTATTGCTTTTGAATAAATAAATGACATCATTATTCAGCTTAATAATCATATGCCTAAATTATTTCTTAAAAATCACAGTAAAGATCTTTGAGTACAATAAATGGAAATAGTTCTAAAAGATTTTTTTCTATCATTAAAATGTGTCCATTAAAGTTCTGACCAACATATAACGGCAACATATTTTCAATAGATTGACAACAAACTGATATACATCCTATACCCATGTAAATAAAATCAATAATTACAAGAAGATGCAACATAATTATATAATGAAATTTTGGTTATTAAAGCATTCGTTAATAATTTACAAAATGTTACATATAATTTCATTCTTTATTGTATTTTATCATTTCTAGTTACCAGTGAGTGGTCTCATATAAGTCTCATTTGACTTATGTTTAGAAGTGAAAATAAAGTATGAAATAAGCTTATATATTTACAAATTTATCTCCAAAGATCAAAGAAAATAAAACTAAAAAAAAAAAAAAGAAGTTGATAATTATATCATATAACATTAATTAATGCAAAAAGAAAAAAATAAGAAAAAAAATAAGTAGGAGTCTAATACTATTATATATGTCATCATCAATAGCCACTCAACATTTGTCCCCATTAACCCCATGAAAGAAGGCCAATGAATTTAAAAGCTATGGGCAAATAGGCGAACTACATTAACTCCATGAAAGAAGAAATGATTTTAAAAAGTGATTATAAGACTCTAATATGTATAAAGTCGTGATTGAAAGAATGGTTACAAATTTTGTCAAGCTTTTTGTGTCCAAGTTCAACGAAATCCAAGGTCAAAGGAAATATGATGCATAAGTTTTATTGCTTACGAATAAATTTCAAAAAACAAAGAACTACCTTCGATGACCGCAACGGAGATACATATACATTATGAACACATACCCCATGACGTCGTGCTGATGACCAATCAACAAACACACTACAAAAAACTTAAGGTTTACACTGTCGTTGCTTTCTATAGTTGAAAATAATTTCTTTAAAAGTCAGCCTCAGTTGAAAAACCTGTGGCCAACACATAAGAAATTAGGATTAGAAAGTGTGATTAATCAATAGCCTAAATACTCTCACATCCTTCTACTGCAAACCTTTGGAACTCCATAAAAACAATAGAGGATAATCTGGTCAATATGACGATTAAAGAACATGGTCGTCCTTTCACTCATAATTTGTTGAAAAAAGACGAAAAATAATCTCTCTGATCTCCTGGGATAGCTGTAGCCTTTCAACTATACCGTTGATTCTGAAAGCACCTAACTTTACAATCCAAGTTGCACAAGAAGTTGTACTATGTTACTGTAGAATGGGGACAATAATAGAATGGCAATGGCCAATGTAAGGCACCAAACCATATGCAAACTACATTTTTTTTGTCTAGGCCCTCAATAGGCTTGAGCCATCTCTACTGTAGACCAAAATGCCCTTACTGGAAGAACACGAAAGCCATCAGAAAGTATAGAACTCATAAAGGGGTGCTAATCTATGTAAATATATCACATTCGAACATTGTAGACCAAATGTACAATGTAATTAGTAGTAGTTGTTGGGTTTGAATTTTGGATTTTAGTAATTGATTATTAGATTTTGTTGACTTTTTTAACTATTTGAAGTTAATAGTCTATTTACATGAGATTTACATCAGTGGTCTCATTACTTTTGTTTTTTGGTTAATAGTCTATTTTAAGTTAATATTATACACCAATTACTTTATTTTTTAAAATGTTTCAAAACTTTAAAATTTCATTACTTTTGTTTTACCCATCTGATATTCATAAAATAAATTAGGTTTACAAACTGTATTTGCTGTGATCTATTCGAGGAAAGTTTATATTGAATATCAAATTTAATTTCTCTTTACATTTGGTTAGAACTATTTGTCTCCCTCTAAGGTGACTTCACATAGAATTGTGAATGTATGTCACATTTGCGTGTAAATACATGCCAAGTTAGTAGTGAAATTAGCCAACTATATGCAATTGACAAATAGGCAAAACATCCCGATCTGTTATTACTATTTTGTTCACTTCTAAAAGCAATGCTAATCGAACCCCTAAACTTACTTAAGCTCTCTTCCATTACAGAGTATTTTTCCAAGTTGCCGTCCATTCCCAGGTTTATCTTCGCTTGATGTGTACTGTTCCAATAATGGACAAGAGTTGGATGGTGATAACAGATAGGCTAAAAAGTAAAGAGTATGTACAAGGTGTTCAGTCATTTATTGAGTTCGCTACGAAGAATTTAGGGCCACAGGATGAAATCCGTTGTCCTTGTGTTGATTGCTTAAACGGTACGAAATTACCTCGACATGTTGTACGGTTGCACTTTATTCGAAAAGGAATCGCATGTTCTTATCGAACTTGGGTCCACCACAGGGAACGTGTTCCCATGTTTTGTGCTCATCCTACTATGCAAAACGAAACGATGATACTCAAACCGACCGAGCTGGAATGACAACCAATCACGAAAATGTGGATGAACTTCCAACCATGTTACAAGAGATTTACATGAGTGGTCTCATGGATGATCATATCGACGAAGAACATACTAGTTCGCAGAGGCACAATCTGTTGAAGTTCATGAAGTTGTTCGATGATGCTCAACGTAAAGTATATCCAGAGTGTGAAAAGTTCTTCATCTTGTCCTTCGTAATTAAGATGCTTCACGTGAAGGTGTACAATAAATAGAGCAACAAATCTTTCGATATGGTTATGCAAGTTTTCAAAGACATTCTACCAAAATGTGATGAACTGACATGACATGACATACTTTCTTGTGTAGATGAACCAATTACAAAATCAAAACTCACCCGAAGCAACGGATGAGATGTGGTCATTAGCCAATGGACCTAATGCCTTAGTGAATACATATTCGGGATGCATTTGTAATGGCATCTGATTCCATACTATCGACCGTGATAACCGTCGTAAATGTCAAAATAGTGGGTTGGTAGTGAAAGGCAACCACCAAGGCCAGTTGATAAAGTTCTACGGCTACCTTTGTAAAGTGTGGGAACTGACATATTTGTTTAGACATCAGGTTGTTTTGTTCCAATGTGAATGATATAACACCGGTAGTAGTTGAACTTTGCGCTTCGAACCACATGTGACAACTGTTGACGTAAGAAGTCGATGGTATAAAGATGACTCATTTGTGTTCCCAAGCCAAGTTCAACAAGTTTTCTATGTTCCTGATACGAAGTTAGGGCCGAATTGGCGAGTCGTAGAAAAGTTTCAACATCGACGAATTTGGGATGTGCCAGAATTTGATGAAGTGTTGCAAGATGATGAAACTAGTACTATTGTACCAACTGAGCCTATTGATGATGATGTTGTTTTACGTTAGGATGACATTGAACTGCAAATTATTTCAATGGAAGTTTCTCAGTCCAATAAGCGTGTACAACTCGAGGGTGTTATAGATGATGCTTTCATTTGCGATGACGATGATGAACTAACAATCTCAGGTGATGACGAAGAAGATGAGATGGAAAGTGATTTTGATACAGATACGGACCTAGAGTTTTAACTCAGTTTGTTTCTTTGTTCGGCTTGTTTTGTTGATGTAATGGGGGCAATTAAGAATATTGATGAACCTTGTAATTTGAATTTCATGCCTACTCTTGAATTTCATGTAATTTGAACCTTGTAATTTGAATTTCCTCTACGATTTCTATGAACTTTGGCAGCAAATTGAAAATCAAATTCATACTCAGTTCAGATTTTCCATTCGGACAGCTGTGTTGTTTGGCTAATTTTTGCACAATCTGTGCCAGATTTGCACATCTGCTCTGTCTCTGTTTGCTGACTTGGACAGTTCGCTGCTATTTTTGTCCACCTTGGTTGCTTGATGCTTGACTCGTTTATGCTTAGGTGCTAGCTAATGGTAGGATGCTTTTGCCTTATCTCAACTACTTTGAGTTGTTGCTCAGTATATTGAACCTCCATTGAACATGAACAGTTCAACAAAGGTTGTGACTCAATTTTTTTTATGTATTTTATATTTTCTCAATAAGGGGTTTTCTCCCTGATGTCATTGATTTTTTTTTGTTATTTTTCGTTTGTTGTTTTCTAATTTTTAAACAGGATGTAAGTTTTTGATGTTGATACCTTTAGTTCTTTCTCATAAGGTCTGTTGTTTGTGAGAGATGTGATTCACTATATGAATGTGGAGTAAGTGACCATTTGGATTATCCAAACCTCTCATGCTATATGGTATTTGCCTGAAAATTGGATTTGCATTCATTTTGATCATCCCATAATCCCATATTAAGTTGTAAGTCAATATCAGTTTTTAATTTGCGATGTTTTTTAAATTGTTTGTTTATATGTTGTTTGTTGAATAGCTATAGCATTGAGTGTTGAGGGCAATTGGCACAACACTTTGAGCATATTTGAAATGGACAATTGTAAGATGGGATGTTGAAACCATTGTTATAACGTGCCCTCTACTGATTATGTACTTATGTAGTATTGACGCTTTTGAGTTTATCATTGTCTGCACAGGTGCATGACTTGCTGAAACTGTATCATGGAATTGACGTCCCTCCAGAACGATTGTTATTTAAAATTCCTTCAACTTGGCAAGTGAGTATCTGAGAAATGTGTGTGTATTTTATATGTTAAAAACTGCATCATGACACATGAATGCTAGTAATTCTCTGCCTTCCTTTGTGGCTTGTAATGTATTGGTTTCTACTCAGGGAATAGAGGCATCAAGAGTATTGGAATCTGAAGGCATACAGACACACTTGACTTTATTTACAGGTGCATTTGTAGTTGAAGCTTGTCCTTCAAATATTTCATTTGTTGGTTATGAAAACTTTGAATGATTTTTTATATTAATTCAGATGTGAAACTCCATTTATCAAGTGATCATAACTGATTGTTGTGATGAAAATTAAGCTCATGTTTGTGCCATTATAGCTAGCAAATGTAATATACATGGGTGTTAAAATGTTTCATATTAAAGGTCTCTAATCTAGCTATTAAAGTGATTTATATGGAAGGTGTGGTCATTCTATACATTTTGATATTTACGAAATATCTATCTGCTAAGTGGTGTTTGAGTTTTCATTAACTAAAGAATGAGGCTGGAATGTTAATGCATCATTAGGCTCTTATCATGGTTCAAAAGCTGCAGTTGGTGTTGGATATCTTCCCACTCTTTTTTTTTTCCCCAACATTCCACTGTTGTATTGATTGGCCCTGTATGTCTAGTGCCAGTTTTTAATCCCCAACTATCTTTGTTGAAACACTCGAACATGTTCTTAAGGTTTAGTGCATTCATAAATCAAACCTATTGCTAAATCATTGCCATTTATGATGCTTCAGCTTTGGCCAAGCTGCGGCTGTAGCTCAAGCCGGTGCTTCTATTATTCAAATTTTTGTTGGTCGCATTAGGGTAATGCCCCTTTTCTAATGAGTAAATTACATTGTTTGTAAAATATTCGATCTGGTGACAGTTAGGGTGTGTTCATCTTTTTCAGGATTGGGCACACAACCATTCTGGTGACCCAGAGATAGAAGCTGCTCTCAGAAGAGGGGAAGATCCTGGGTTGGCTTTGGTCACTTACTCTACATTCATATAGTTACCTTTGTAGGGAATTAGGTTGTTGAATTGACCAGTGTATTTACGATGTTTTGAAATTTCAACTGCTACACACACAAGCACAGCTTTAGGACTTTAAGAAGAGCTGCATTATAACAGAATAACGTGGTGAAATTGCTTATCAAAATAATTATATACAATAAACACAAACCAGATTAATGTGTTGAAATTGAATCGAAATATATATATGCCACACACCATAATACTGTGTTAAAATTGTGGAGGAAAAGAGAGCAGCATGTTCCTAAAATAGCTATGATGACCATGACTGTTAAGGTGAGTTTATAAAGCTTTATGCATTTCTTCATGGCTCTTTTGAAGGACTCTTGTTTTCGGTTTAGAAGTAGAACACACCGCTGTCGAATACCTCTTGACAACTTCATTCCAATTTTCATCCTAATCTCTTTTGCTGTGTTTTGTTAGGGGATTTGAGGAGGGATTTAGAAATGGAAAGGAAAATGGAAAAATTAGGTGAAATATGGATAAAATATACCTACATTTCACTTAGTTTCGCACACATTTTCCCTTTTCATTTCCAAATCCCTCTCCAAATCTCCCAACCAAACACAATAATGATTTATGTCATGTTGATTGACTTGCAAGTAAAGCATGGTTGAATAAAATTCCTTCACAAGACTGATGAGTAGGTATTAAGCGACACGGGATCATCTCTTAATGAGTTGAACAAGTTGGAATTCGGTTAGTCACAGCCTTCAATTACATTAAGCCACTGTTCTGTGAAGTATATAGTATATTTCAGATCTCCTTAGTATATAGTCTATCATTTTATATTGTTATTTGATTTGTAGAGAATGAACATGTAATAACCCGACCCTCGCACATGATTTCTGTTATATTCTTAGTCTTCGATTGGTACATTTAAATGCTTACAGTGTAGTTCCGTGGAAAAATTATGATTAAGGAAGGAAGTGAAATCCATGTCTACGAATGTCTATCTGTCTCACAAGAAAACCATCTGTCACCATTAACACGTTTAAATTAGAAATTGGAAGCCTTAACAGCTTAATTAGCTGAAATTGATTATATATCTGTGATCAGCATAATTTTTAGGTAATATTAAGCATGTTTGCGAAATTTTAATTTTGGAATGGTTAAACGATTCATTTTTGTCTTATATGCCTTGTTTATATATACTTCCAAGACTTCATGAGCCTTAGTCAAAAAAACACAAAAAACATGAATACCATTTTGGGGAAGAAAAGAAGAGAAAGTGAAAAAGAGATATCGGGAGAGAAGGGATTCAACAAGAAAGTTTGGCAAAATTGTAGGATTGAATTCAAGGTAAGCTCAAATCCTTCTTATTATGGCCACTTAGAGTTTGTAATTGCTGTGTATATTTGCTTCATGTCTAATTCATGCTTGATTAATGAGGGTTTCTCTCAATTGGTTGCTTAGGCATCTAGATTGGGTGTGGTAGGAAATTATACTTCAATCTGTGGTTTTCTATCATCACTTCATGGAATTATGCATATATCATGTGTTATGTTTCAAGGATATGAAGAACTTGAATCCAAGAATGGAATTAGAGAGAGAGATGGCTTGTTGAAGCTTTTAATCTTGGTTAATTTATTATACTCAAGGTAGAATCCATGTTATAGTGATGTTAGGTGGGAATATTGCATTAACCTAACCTTGGGTTGCATGTAAAAATGGAGTGAATACCAGGTTGGGACTCGAATGGAGGTTCAGAATTTCAGAATCTGCTCGGTCCGCTCGAGCGGCGGAAAGTCCGCTTGAGCGGGAAAAACCACCTCTCAGCAGTTTTGTGCATTTTACAGTCCGCTCGAGCGGCCAAAGTGGCGCTCGAGCGGGGGACTCTTTTTCAAGAAAAATTAAATGTCGATTCAGTTTTAAGTGCTTGTCTCCCTGGTATTTTTAGAATATTTTATAGATGATTTTAAAGCGGTTGTAAATGCATGCAAGGTGTACGACTCAGGAAAAGACAACTAATGTATTAATTGGGTGCAAGGCACATTCCAGAAGGAAGCAACACGCCACCTCAACACTGTGAGTAGTAGTACCTATGTAATGTTATGCAATTATGTCAATGTTTCAAGGCATGTAAGGCAATTATGTTAATGTCCCAAGCATGTAATGTACTTATGCATGTTTAAGATATGCTAATGGTAAAACATGTAAAGAAAAGCATTTACAAGGGCCTTGTGCCACAAGTTTCAAGTGTATTTCAAGGGCCTCGTGCCACAAGTTTCAAGTGAATTGCAAGGGCCTTGTGCCATATGTTCAAGGGCTTCGTGCCATCTTGTTTCAAGGGCTTATAGCCACATGTTTATGTCACAAGATTAGGCCTAGGACCATTAAGAACTAAACGCAGAATCAGACACACCAAGTGCATGCTGCATCTTTTGTGTATTGATGTATTACTACACATTGAGCCCGGCTCACTCTCTATTTTGTCTGTTTCTGTAGGTCATCAGTCAGGGGGTCAATCCTAACTTTGACGCCGTCCCTTTTGTCAACCTTTACATGTCCAGGCACCATACCAGTCCATTTATCTTCGTGAAGCTTCTAAGATATGGGGTTTACTTTTAAGAACCATCTACAGATGTTGTACATAACTTTCATATTCCTTTTGTTATGCCCAATTATCGGGCTAGGACTGTAAATGTATATGTTGTATGTGATATCTAGGGCTATAGTTCTAAACTTTGTCCGCTTTTGACGATATATGTAATGCATGAGATCCTGGCATGTTAGAAATAGCTCAATGGATTATGCTTGTATTTATGTTATATGAATATTTTATGCTTCCGATAAGGCCTCGTACGGCATGTACATCAGTTTTTTGTCCGTTTTTGTATAGGTCATGCCCGAACCTTTAGGGGCGGGTTGCTGGGCTGTGATAGTGGTATCAGAGCACGTGTTGCTATCTCACACACGGATCCATTGAGCTGTAGGGTGTCTAGAAAAGCTTTAGGCCTCATGCATGACATCCTAATAAGACAAGTTCGATGGCAACATTAAGTGCACTCTGATAATGTTAACCATGTTGCATTATGTCTATAGTATTTGATTAATTATTGAATAGATCATGGTGAGAACAAGGACAGAAGATGCGGAAGATGCCACCTCAGCACGACTGGATAGGATGGAAAGGATGCTTATGGAACTGGCAGAGACTTTACGGCAACAGCAGCAACAGCCTCACCAACAACCGCCACCACCACCAGTACCTCCACCTGTAGTACAAGATTTTCACGCTGAAGACCGAACTATTACTCTCACTAAGGAGTTTAAAAAGATGAAGCCGCCAACTTTCAAAGGGGGAATAGAACCGATGAAAGCTGAGGCCTGGGTATTCGGCATAGAGAAGTTATTTGAAGTCTTTCCCTGCACCGAAGCTCAAAAGGTACAACTAGCTGCCTTCACTCTTGAGGACGAGGCACGGAGGTGGTGGATGCTTACGAGGACAATCCATCCAGGGTTAACATGGGACAGATTTCTGGGGCTGTTTTATGATAAATATTTCCCCCAAAGCATGCGGGACAAAAAGGTGACTGAATTCGAAACTCTCAGACAAGGGAACAAGACTGTTGCTGAATATGAGGCCCAATTTGCAGAATTAGCCCGGTTTGCACCGCATATGGTGGACACGGACTATAAGAAGGCACGAAAATTCGAAGGGGGCTTACGGGGTGCTATCTTGGACCGAGTCAATATGTTAAAGTTGCCTACCTACGTAGATGTGCTGGAGAGGGCTGTTATAGCTGAGGGAAACCTTGCTGCTCAGAACACGTAGATGTGCTGGAGAGGGCTGTTATAGCTGGGGGAAACCTTGCTGCTCAGAACCGGATTGCCGAATGGAAGAGAAAGAGGCAAAATAATCAATGGTCAAAGGGAGCGGCTACTCCACCAAACAAGAAACAAAACTCAGGGACTTCAAATACTTCTGCCCCTAATCAGGGTACGATTCCTGTTTGTTCGGAATGTGGGAAGAGGCATCATGGGATATGCCAATGGAAGTCTGGAGCCTGTTATCAGTGCGGCAAAACGGGTCATTTGATAAAGGATTGCCTTCAGAAGAATCAACGAAATGGTAACAGGGCTGCTACTAGCTCAGCAGGGTCTACACCAACTACTAACACCAAGGCACCGTTCAAACCTAACAACAATAAAGACATAGCGAGACAAGGCAGAGTGTTTACATTGGTTCCAGGAGATGTGCAGAATGCAGCAACAGTGGTGTCAGGTACATTTATGGTTCACGGTCATTCTGCTTCTATCTTATTTGACTCTGGCTCTACTCATTCATTTGTGTCAAAATTATTTGCACAAAACTTAGATAAAATCGAAGAAACACTGTCTTATATGTTATGCGTATCTTCACCTATGGGAGATTCTGTGCTTTGTACTTCTGTTTATCGTGGTTGCGAACTCGCGCTTGGGGATGTCCGGATATATGCCAATCTGTTACCTCTCGACATGACTTATTTCGATATTATTCTGGGAATGGATTGGTTGGGTGAATATGGTGCAACGATAGATTGTCTAACTAAACGAGTCAGTTTCCACCCTCCAGGACAATTGGAGTCTACCTTACAAGGGCATGGCGTAATTTCTCCACCTTATTTGATCTCGGCAACAAAGGCATGTAAATTAATTCAAAAAGGGTGTCAGGGGTATTTATGCAGTGTTTTGGAGGGGCAAGTAGTGAATGGAACTGTTGATACGATTCCAATTGTGTGTGAATTTCCAGACGTCTTTCCTGAAGAATTACCAGGGCAGTTGATAGACCGTGAAATTGAGT